AGATATTATTTTCGTGTCTCACAGGAAACACGTTATGCCTCCGCAGCGAAGATCAATTGATCAGTGTTGTTTAGGAAAAAATCGCTTATCACGAGAATCATATGAAAATACATTAATAACTCTGGACAGAATGCAGAGTTCTGTAGTGTATATGAACCATTGAGCTTTAAAGAATTAAGTTGGAGGCTTCATCTATGTCCCATCACTTTGTTGGGCCACAGAATAAGGAAGTTTTCATTTTATATATGTGCGAAACAACAATATATAAAAAATAAAGCTATCCCTGTACCAGGCCGTGAAGGCCCATAGGGTTGTGAGACGTTGAGGGTACCACATTATCTAGACAATCGGATCAGAGATGGCGGTAAGGTTGTCAGCCTTACGCGCCGGCCGCGCTTTACTCCCCAGGAAAATTATTTAATTCATTCCTGGTACTCATTTCTGTTAGAGGCTGAGTCAACCTCAGGGCCATAGTGCGGCCGGAAGGATTAGGTCAATTGAAAAAATCCAATGACCTCATCGGGACTTGAACACGCGACCTTCCATATTTCGTTACAAAATTGTTTACAACTTTCGTTAGTTTCAGAAAAACAAAATGTCTTACCTAGAGCAGTGGTTCTCAACCCTTGTGAAGCCGCGGCCCGGCGGTTGAGAAACATTGATCTAGAGAATAAAAAAAAAATAGAGCACGTTATTGTTTGCTTTATAGCTTGTTCTCGGGAAGCATCTGTTTTCATTCTCTCGCCCGTTACCAGTTATACCGACAGGTTTTCTCGAGTCAGTTTGGTCTATCGAAACGAACTCCGATATAGTTCCTTCAAGCAGGTCACAATCCACCGCTTTCCAAGCGCCTGCTTATCCACTTTACATTTTTCCAATTTCTGAAACTTCATAGCTTCTGCAGTTAAAATCGTGCATTGATACATCAGTTCAGCATATCGTAACAATTACTTAATGTCTAGGTTCGAGACCAGCTGGCAGCCGAAGGTGTGGAACCATATGAGGATCTCATGCCCAGATCTGATCTCGGCAATAATGATGGCTGCATAACCGACTCATTTTCTTTCTTGAAGTCGCCGCAAGTGGGTATCGATTTCGGCCAGTTGACGCCTCGCCGTTTTTCTCATGGCATTTGTGATTGAAGTTCAGTACCAAAATTATTAAAATAAAATATGAAGTCTATGGTATGTGTTTGAAAAGCATCATTGATCAACAAAGTTATATGTAAGTTTATTATAACATATTTCAATACAATCTGTAAAATATGTTATGGGATGTACCGGAATATACAGAATATTTCATTTACGGCCTTACTGAAATTACACTTTATGTTTTGTTCGATGCAACTAAAAATAAATCCTACGGACCAACTTTGCCCAGAGCTCCCTCATGTCGGCTGTCACTAAACTCTGATTAATAGTTCATTATATAGCACAGTTTAATCTGTGATCTTCTGTATGTTATGGATCAATATGACTAGAAATTTGAATTACTTATCCAGCTGGAAAAATGCTGGTAAGTTACTGAGTCACAAGGAGACGGACAGACAAAAAACCAAGACATGATATCCACATATTATATTCTTTTACTTTGTAAAGCACACCTGAGAAGTAATGAACTACGACTTCTGCTGCACTCTCTCGACCATACCAACTTGTCCCATCCCACCAGTTTGGGTTTAGCAGTAAGGACTCAACTATTGACCAAATGCACAGAATAACCGATGTCATAGAAAAATCTCTTGGAAATAAAAAAGTATGCTCGACAATATTTCTGGACATAACACAAGTATTTGATCGAGTATGGCACGACGGCCTGATGCATAAACTAAAATCGATTCTTCCTGATTCGTACTATCAGCTCCTCAAATCATACCTAAAGGGGCGAAAATTTCGCATCAAACACGAAGATACGTACCCGGTGTTCCCCAGGGAAGCGTTCTGGGACCGGTCCTCTATTTACTTCATATCAATGACGCACCACAAACGCCGAACTGCACGACTGCCACATTTGCGGACGACACCGCAGCGATGGCGACAGGAAACACAATCGAGGACTCAACAACAAAACTGCAACGAGCAGCTGATAATATCGCCACCTGGACACGTAAATGGCGTATCAAGCTCAATGAAACCAAATCTACGTACATCGACTTCGCCAACCAAAAGATTAATCAGCGATCAATCTCACTAAATGGAGTAAGAATACCGCCTGCCAACACAGCAAAGTACCTCGGAATTACACTTGACGCCAAACTCCGATGGAAGGAGCATATTAAGAAGAAGCAAGAGGAACTGCAAATCAAATTTCGAAAAATGTACTGGCTGACCGGACGTCGATCAGAACTGTCAATGTACAAGCTGCTCCTGTATAAACAAAGGCTGCGCCCAGTCTGGACATATGGCGTCCAACTATGGGGACGTGCGAAAAAATGCAACATCGAAGTAATCCAACGATACCAGAACAAAGTACTAAGACGCATAGCAGATGCGCCCTGGTATGTACGCAACAGGGACCTCCATCGAGACCTCGGTGTCGA